TTCATCTTCATCTTCATCTTCATCTTCATCTTCATCTTCATCTTCATATTCATCTTCATCTTCATCTTCATCTTCATCTTCATCTTCATCTTCGTCGTCTTGGTCTTCATCTTTATCTTTTCCTTTATCCTGATCTAAATATGTCCATTCTTTTCTTCATTTACATATTCACCCCCACCATTGTTATTAGGTTAGGTATTTAAATTTTCCTTTCTCTTTGTCTTTATATCTAAGTTTCTTTACTTTTATTTTAATTTCTGTATTTATCACTTTCTTCTTCTCCATACTCAACTTTACCTTCTTCCTTGTTTGAGTCTAATCTATTCATGTACATACATACATACATACATTTTATTCCTGAACTGCTGCTTAGCACGTTTCCTTAATTCGCTATCAATATTAAAGCATACATTTAGGGGGCATTTCCGCCCCAACCATGTACATGTGTGCATTGGTATTGGTGTGACTTTTGAATTGATTTTTTCGCTCTATTTTAAACTGATTTGAAATTTTAAAAATTGCCTGCACATCAGCATCAAAATACCTTTCTAATGATATATAATTGTCTATACCTTAGAATTATAGTTTAGCCGTAAAAGGGGTGTAAAGGAAACATGATTGCCTATTTATATAATGATTTGTTAAATTTATCCCAATGAAGTTTAGCTTAATTTATTTTTTTTTTAATTTAGCTTTAATTAATTTAGTCTATTTTCATTTACTTTAATTTAATTTAATATAATTTAGTTTAATTAATTAATTAATTTAATTTAGTCTTAATAAATTTTATATAATCTATCTTAATTAAATTGAGTTGCACTTAATTTATATTAATTTAATTAAATAAATTATTTTAGTTTAATTTAATTTAATTTCTTGTTATTCAATTTAATTTATTTTAAATAAATTCAATCTAATTTTAATTTAATAAATTTTGACTTAACTTAATTTAAAGTGATTCAACTTCGTGTTATCCAATTCTATTTGTTATTTGATTTAATTTTTATATGGTTAAATTTGGATTAAATTTATTTAATTTAATTTAATCTAATTTGAATTCATTTATTTTAATTTAATTAAATTTTTGTTTTACTTTATTTATTTTATTTTATTTTATTTTATTTTATTTTATTTTATTTTATTTTATTTTATTTTATTTTATTTTTTTAAGATAACTAAAGTTTTTTAATTTTATTTTGTTCTTCATGGCGCTTAAATTTTTTGCAGCTCTAAAAATTTAATAACACTCGGATACATTCCTCTCTTTTGAACCCATTTTTTTGAGCACAAATGATAGGTACATTTTTTCCGCAGAGTGATTTTTCAATGGATTCATTTTTTTCTTTCTTTGAGCAGAAAACTAAAATTCAATTTTTTTACTCAAACCTTATTTGTCGAATCCGATTGAAAAATTTCGCTCTCTGGCAGATTCACGTAAAATTGAAGTACGAATGAAAAAATTTAAAAGTTTTTGTGAGCTTAAAATTTTGACAAAGCCAAATACGCGTAAAAATTGATAAGAAAAATAAAAGGAAATTTTGCAAGCTGATATCGGAAAAAAATAAATAAAGAAAATAAAGTTGCTAATTTTTCTGACAAATTGAGCCTGAAGTGCCCAACTTTTCATTTCACAAATTACAAATTATTGTAAAAGCCAAAAAGAAGAGCAACAAAAAAAAAATAAAAATAAGAGTCAAAAATGAAAATTAATTCGACAATAAAAAATACAGAGTGAAAACTCCGGCGTCAGATCAAAATAATGAATATCATCAAAACAAAAATCAAAAACGTTCAATAAAAAAGCAAAAGTTTTGCGACATTCGGCAGTGAGGGAAAGCCAAAACCACCAACAACTAAATTACTTAGAATATAGCCCGACTAAAGAACAAAACCAAAATGCGAAGAGTCTCGAGCAAAATGAAAGTAACCACAACCACAGCGGCAGCAAACATAACCACAACAATGCTTGCGGTACAGCAGCGAAGGCAACATTGCCATTGTGGCATGCAACAGCGAGGACGACACCATCACCACCGATACCAGCTAAACTTGACACAGCCGCTGAGGCACATATTGGCGTTGTTTGTCATCATCATTTGCGTGCAAGGTAAGTAAAATGTCAACATCAATTTTGTTTTTTTGTTTTTTTTTTATTCCTTTTTTGCATACAATTTTTTTTTTCCACAAATTGCTGCTTGCGCGTTGATGGCTCTTGACAATGGCTCGCCGCTGTCACTGCCACCACGTTTCACATTTTCTCATCGACATGTTTTCCATACTACGTTTGGAATGCGCCAAATCACACGTCTAATGTAACACATTCTTACATCCATACGAATTAAAATACATACAGTGATGGAAAAATAAATATGGACGCGTGATTTTAACAAATTTTGCCAATTTCTCTTTGGTTTATTTAATATTTATTATTCTAAATATAAATATGATATAATATACTTAAAAATTCTGCAAAATTGCATCTAAATTTTCTACTTTTTAATCAGATTTTCCATGAATGCGGTTCTTTAGCAACTTAAAACTTACAAAATATCATAGTAAAATTTTATGAATTAAAATTTTAAAATCTGATTAAAAGGTGAAAATTTCGATGCAAATATGCAGAATTTTAAATTCTTCCACAAAGTTTGAAATATAAACTAATACGGTTTTTGTTAGATAATGAGCTATAATTTCATAAAACAATAATAAGTATTAAATATACAAAATAAAAATATGCAAAATATGTTAAAATGTTGCGTCCCTATTCATTTGTCAACTACTGTACATATGTATGTATGCAATTGCCTCGCGACCTAGAGACAAATGGGAATATTATAACTTTATACACGTGCTATAGTGCTACTGTATGTGGGTACCATCCCCGATGCATATGCTTCAATTATTAACTAAACATAAGTACATACATACATACAGTCACAGGCAAAAGTTAATATACATCTTGTTTTAATATAATATTCACTATTATTTTCATGAACCAATTTTTTCATTACTTTTTTTATAAAAATAAGGTTAATTGTATAAAATAAACAGAAGTTTGACAAATATTTATAAAATACACAAAAATTAAAAATATTTTTATCAAAATTTCAAACTTTTTTTTAGAGTTTCATAAAATCTTCGAGTATGCAATTGTGTAGCCTCTTTAATTTAATAAAAACAAAGTGCAAGCTTTAAGTCGCCTAAAATTGCCGTTGATTTTTTAGAATTTTTTTGTGTAAGGTGTTGCGCAATTTCCTTCATATAAAATTAGATGTTGTTTGTCCACTAGGTTGAACGCAAAGAAAAATTATAAAAAATGAACGGTAATATTTATTTGAATGGGCTACAAAACTGCATACTCGATATTTTTTTTTCCAAATAAAAATGTTGAAATTTTTATGATTTTTTTTCAAGTTTTGCGAATTTTTTTATAAAGTTTGTAATTTTGATGATTTTTTCAATTATTGTGATTTTTTATTTTTTATTTTTGAAAAGTCTGGAACTTTTATTTATACGTTTTATGTTAGTAAATGAACTATATTTTCATAAAAAATTAATCAAAAAAATTTCATGAAAACAATTGTATGTATTTTATTAAAACAAGGGACCTTATGAATAAAAACTAACCAATAACTTTTTCTTAAAATTTTAAACATTTTACTAAAATTCATTTGAATAAATCGAGTAAAAAGTCTGCGATTTTAGGAAAAAGCAATTGCTTAGTATTTATTCATAAGGTCCAAGGTGTATACTAACTTTTGACTCTGACTGTAGGTACATACATAAATTGTATGTATATCCAACGCGGTGCTCCTTCTCGCATTCGTACGTACAGCAGCAATAAATACTTTGTCATCGCTAGGTGCTACTTTAGTAATTCCTTTTCTCTAATTCTATGTGCCAACAAAGCTACATCAACAGACGTGGGAGGTTCGCGCAGTTTGTTGGATGCGATTCATTTTTCTTTTGTGGTTTCACAATTTTTAGCTGTGGATTTTTCTTTCCAATGACACACACCCTACTCGATGTTGTGATTGGCTTTATGCCTTAAATCTTTTACAGCTCATTTCATCTACTTCAAACTTTGTGTAAATATTAGCTTTTGTAGAAAAATATTTGAGCAGATTATTTGCTCGTGTGCTCAATAATTCATTGGAAAGTCAGGTGGTATATCAAGCTTCTTAAGAGCATACATTTATTTTATTTGCCCGCCTCTTTTGTACAGTTGATGAGTAGCCATGATTTTTGCTATCAATTCTACTGAATATGACATATTTTTACGAATGCGGTGAGTACGGTTTACTAAGGCAGCATCATCAGATCGTCACAGCTGAACTTACTTGACAGCCTCCATAACTCATAATTCAACATAAATGTAAGCCATGGATGTGATTCCAAATATCTTGCGCATAAAAATCATGGGAACAAAGTGTGCTGTAAATCTAGCCCTAACAAGCAAAAGCTAAGGAGTTGGAAAGCTAGCCGATGTGGCCTTACTATCTTGGATACGTACTTACATAAATAGTAACCTACTTCTACCGAGCATATCGGTTTAGTGTGCGTAAGAGCTCATTTTTGAGAAAGGGCATGACTTATAACAAGAAGGTAAACATGGACTGAAGGAATTCCGCAATGTGAAGATGTCATTGCCGCGAGAAATGGTCAACACCTAGCGAGGATGTTGATGAACCATAGCCCGACCAGGTCATCCCCCGGATCAGCCTGCTCGGTTTCTTCCTCCTTTCCTCATGCCCGACACCCGCCAGCAAATTACAAGCGGCATTGACATCGATCCTATAAACAATTTTCTTTTTCAGCGAGTCAAAATCGTAGTGGAAGAATTCCTTGGTTTCATTCATCTTGGCAATGGGGTCCTTACTAGGCAAAAAAACTACCTGCATGATTGCTCTGTTTCTGGGTGCTATCTCTACCACCTTCCAGTTTTCAGTCGGCAGTTCTGGATTAAAGACGTTTGCGGTCTCCAAGATCTCCTTCGGATCATAGCATTCGCATGGGAGCAAATCTAGCGCTCTTGCTCTCACCGGAATGTTCTTGAAGTCCACTGGTTTGAGTTTAGCTCTAGGGAAGACCTCGTCCATTTTCTTGCAGGTCGGCGGAAATACTGGGCTTTATCCGAGTATTCTCATCGCTATGCTGGCCATTTCGGCCTTCACCCGTTTCCACTGGAGTCGTAGGGTCAGAGTATTTTCATGGGTTTCTTCACAGACGCCCAGCAGGATTTGCTACTTCGCAATCTCTATAAGCGAACACAACTATGTTTTCGTTGTTGTTGAGTGCATTTATGTATTCCCATGATTTTCAGAACAGTGGTTCATCCATCTGGACAGAGAACAGCCATGCTTAAAGGCAAGGCCTCGCTTATCACTGCATGAGGCCGCGTCCTCTGCTCGCAACTGGGCTATTTATGGGTCCCCAGCGTGACCAATGCTTGGTACGTTGATGCGGCTAACGCCTTCATCCCGCCCCTGATTACCTGCATAGGTCATGGTCAAAAACCGTTTCTATATAACCAAGGATTAAGGAGCTTGAGCACATGACACTGACTCCTGATCTTAGCCCGACAGCATTCTGTGATCATACAGAACCTAGGTGTGATCCCTGTTACCAGTCGGCACCCCTGCAAAGATTTCAGCCTGAGGACTTTCGCCAACCTGTCAGTCGTCGAACTTTCAACTAAAATCCTCGGGACTTTTTTCTTGCCGAATGGCGTTTCAAGCTCTTCACACTCACATATTTCGACACTCTCTCTTTTTATTACGGAAATGCATACATACAGTATTGGACATATCTATAGCATCCCCTTTCAAAGTGATATTGGGTGCCACTCATGTTTAATTATTTAGTTTTAAGAACTTTCAAGTAAAGTACAGTTCGTTCTCTAACAAAACTCCTACAAACTTTTTAAAAGACTAACAGACTGCTTTCGTATAACGAATAAACTAAATTTATTTTTATATGGGAGTAACCCTCAATACCTCCGGAGAAAAAATTTCTAAAAATTAACGGTAATTTTTAGCCACTTGAAACTTGCACATTATTGGACTAAAATATAATGGTCCATAAAACTGTTTATTCAGAAAAATTCTAACGCTTCTGAGAAAAAGGTTTGAAATTTGGGTCAACATTTTTTACATTATTTTGTAGTCTTTTAAAAAGTTTTAAACTTGAATTTATAGTTTTGAGAATGAACTGTATTTTAATTGAAAATTCCCAAAAATAAATAAATAAACATGAGGGGCAAACAATATCACTTTGAAAAGGGGGTGCTATTGTATTGGCCAATACTGTACATACTAGGAGCATGTGTACATATACATAGTACATATGTACATATGTATGTAAGTTCAGAAAGTTAATACATAAATAACTGTTATGGAGCTTTCGTTTATACTGCCGCAGCAGATGCTTGCGTGAACTATTTTTAAATTTATTCTTTCGGCAACCCCCGTGTCAGTGTATTTTTTTGCCATTGATTTTTTCTTAGTATGTTCATACTTGTATTACATATATTGTAAACTGTTTCGCAGAACTTTTGCGTGGCAAGTAAAATTACTATTTCTGTACAACTGCTGCCTTAAAAAATTGCGTTGCGGTCGTATTTTTCCAGAATCAGAAACAAATTGCCTGGCTTGAAATTGTAAACTTTATTTATTCTTTTTACCCTCAGCATGTGATTGAGCATACCTTCCCACAGAGATTTTTTCTACACTTTTTACTTGGCCCTTTTTATAGTTCATATTTTACCATTTTAATAATATCAAAGATTTGTTAAATGTTTTTATATCATTTATGTGCATTTATTTTTCTTCTGAACTCTTTTCAATAACTTCTACATGAAAAGTTTTCACATCTTTCAAATATATGTAATTGGCAAATAATATAGTGATTGCCATATAATTGCCATTAAAATCGTTCCTTCTAAGCACACATACATACAAACCTCCATTCAATGCCGCAGCATGGTACACTATTCTCGAAAAATTCATCTTAGAACAGCTATTTACTGTCTCTAATTTTTTTATTGCCTCTGAGCGGTAACTTCATTAATTTCATGCTTTGATGCTGTCATTTCGCGTTGTGGCGCATA